TTCAAAATAAAAACATTCACTTTAGTGTATTAATCAATTCTAAAATTGGGGCAGAAAAGGAAATACTGAGTAAGTCAATTCTGTTGCCAACTAGAAACTCAGGGGTCCCACGTATTAAATGTTGGCACAGGAGGTAAACGAGATAATACAAGCAGGCGAAAAATAGAGAGAAACTTGAGTATTTCTTTTTTCTCAGAAAATTAGCGTACAAGATTATAAATAGCACTTGGAAAATAACTAACTAAGAGAGAAATTAGGACAGTATCCTATGACCTGCTAATTGAATAACTCCAACTAAATTAGAACTCCTAATTCAAATAAATTAAATACGTAAAATTCTCCTAAAAATACTAATAGTAACTTAGTGTTTTTTGAATCAGTCAAATAACATTAAAGGTTAAAGTGGTAAAGGAACAAAGCCTCGACTCCCATTTAGAGATAAATTTAGTTCGGCGGGATTAACCAAAACCATTTGTACCAACCCATTCGGTTCAACTGAGCACTAGAACTTTTTCTTTGATGAATTATTTTCCGATGGATTATAAATTTATGTTTTGGACTATTCATAATTATAAATATGAAATTAGTGGGGTAGTTTTAATAGATTATTTAGTTTATGGTTAAAGAAAACGACATTAAAATTATTAGTGGGTCACTTTTATCACCTTTATAATTAGTCTTATAATAATTAAGGCAGTATCTATTTGTAGAAAAGATGAAAATTAAAAGAGAGGCGCACATTGGTGGAAGGAAAACAAATTAAGAAGAAGATCGACGAACATGTAAGCATTAATTGCCTTAATCATGTATTTGTTTATATACATGGAGGTCATATTATTATTATTATTATTATTATTATTATTACTATTATTATTATTATTATTATTATTATATAATTAAGGTTAGGTTGGATTTGGGTTTAGATAGTGGTGTTGGGTTGGACAAGATTGGCTCCCATTTATCTAGTAATTTTATGTGAGATTATGCTAAATTTAAGTACGAACGTGAGTAGAAATCATGGTTTAATGTGTTTATGGGTGTAATATATATATATATATATATATGAGAGAATTAAATTATGGGTGTCAGGCCATTGCAACATATTGAAATGGCTTAATTAAGCTTAATTTAGTTTAGGGCTTAGCTAATCTCTCAGTTAAAGATTGTTGTTGTTATATTTGTCATATGTGTGGTGCTAATTCTCGAATGGAACAAAATAGGGGAAAAAAGTACTATAAATGATGATGACAACATAATGGGGAAATCATGAATGGGTCATTAGAAGAAATAAGATTCAACTTATTCCAAGTTGAAGGTACAATACTCTGATCGTATAATTAGATGGAATTTCAATGTTTCTTATATTATTATATAATAAATTTATGTTTTAATATATTGAAAATAAGAAATTAAATATTAAAAGTATTTTATATGATTTCAATATCATTAATGTTATGCAAATTGAATGACTAAGACTTACCCTTAGGTTTGAACTTTAGGAAATTAATTATAGAATTAGATGAAATTTTGGGTCTAGGCTAGACATACAATAATTTGAGTGTTTATAGACTCGATAACTTACAAATTATGCATATATACTTAAAGATTTAAAAGGTCTGGAGGCATTGAGGAAAGGGAAAGTATTGAAGAAGTAGCTTGCTTGACTTCGATTCTTCAGTGGAGGTAGGTTATGGTTTATGATATTTGATAGTAAACTCTTAATAGTGATTGATAGGCTCTGTATCAATGGAATCTCATCATCCATACTGAAAAAATCGAACTTTAAACAAAATTTTTTGATTCAACCATCTCTTTGTCTACTTGAATCGGATATTTTGTATTGAATTATATTGTGAATTTTTCTATGTACTTGATTGGATGGTTGTGTGGCTTGGTTGTGTGTTTTATGATTGGTCCGAAATCCTGCGACCATGGAATTTATAATCCTTAATCCTCTCTATCGAAGTGATGCCTTGAATAAAGAAGGCTCCACGAAATATTTTAACTAATGGAAAAGTAGTGATATTAAATAATAAATTAATGATATAATTGTATCAGAGTGTCACGTTCTGACACGGTAGTCTTGGATCGGAGTGTCATGTTCTGACATGATATTTTGGATAAGAGTGTCACGTTCCGACACGGTATTATTGGATTAGAGTATCACGTTCTGACACAGTAATATTAAAGTAAAAACATGTTGACTTAATGAAAAGTACTCAATCTCAAAGAACTCAACTACCAAAATGGTTTGGTTTGGAGGTAGGAGTCCTCATGTGTGATCTTGATATCATTGACTTATTACGTGATTACTTTAATGTTGTTGAAACTTGTTCATGTAGTTTTTTTCTTACAACCTATTAAGTGCTATAATTTAGTTCATACTATTTTTCGTTGTATATTAGTTTCTATCTTTGGTTGGACGATGATGCCTACTTAGTACATGTTGCCCCACACTGAGCCCTACTTGTGTTTTTCTTTGTTTTCCTTTTATGGAGTGCAGCGAGTGTACCAATAACTTTGAATTGCCACTCATCTCTAGGAACTCTCGGCATATCAGGTTCAAAGGTGAGTTATTCATTCAAGCTTGGGTTTGGTTCTCTTTGTCATTACCTGATGTCCTTAGTATTCTGAAATAAACTACCTTAGTTTATTTATTTTAGTGCTTTTGATACTCTTAGACTTAGTAATTGGAGATAAGGTGTGCTAATTGTGATGACTTTCAGTTTTTGGGAAAATGATAGTTAATAAGTTTTGGAGCTTCCATATTATTTTGTTATTCGTAGTTGATTTATTGATATATGTTGGGATTTGCATTTCTCGATTCGCCCACTTGGGAGGTTAAGTGTGGGTGCCACTCACGACTCATTTTGGATCGTGACACCATTGCTTTGAGTTTGAAGTTTGTGTAGATCTAAACTTACTGATAAAGATAGACATACAAGTACACATAAGTTGCCTTGTAAACAATTTTCAACAATAGGTTGAAAGACCACATAGCAGTTTGTGTTGCCTTGCTTGTTTTCCACCTCCATAGCAGTTGCCAACTTAATGATCATATTGTTATCTTCCAATGAATAATTGTTATCTCAAGAATGGAAGACGCTCCATTCAATATCATGTTATACATTGGTTTTATGGTCATATTATGGTAGAAACTCAAAAGTATTGCGTATGCCCATGAGCAGGGAATTAAGCTCTCGTCCATTTGCACTTACATAGACACACATTTGGCTGTCAAATCACTGTACTTTTTGAAGATGATATCATACATAAGTGCATTACCAGCTTCAATATTGTAACTATTTTGTATAAACATAGTATCTCCATATCTAGTTTAGAGAGTCCCTTGTCCATATCATTGAACCTAAAGATCAACTAGTTATTAGAAATTATTAGTCCAAACTTGTAAGTGAAAGATAATTGGGGGGGGGGGGGTAAAATTAAGATTAGTTGTTCAGTCGACTTCCTAAGTTCAGTAGTCTACTTCCCTGCAGGTTAGATCAGTAAAATATAACAAAGTAAAATACTTAAAGTAAATGAACACTGGATGTTTTATACTGGTTTTGATCACCGATGTGATGCCTAGTCCAGTCCCCCCAGGTTTCCTTAAGAGATTGATCAAATTTTTGTTTATAGAATTGGTAGACTTTCGATTTTGTCTGATGTACGAATTAGATCTTCGATACTTGACACTTCCTCTACTTGTATAACCTACTCTTAGAACTTTTCCTTTTCTTTTTCTTTTACAATTGTTCACTCTTGTGTACAAAACTTTATCAAAGACAAAAGAAGATTACAAATAATTTCAAGTGAAGATGCGTACATCACACTAAAGGTTGAGGAGGTTTATATAGGATTGCTCTTGTCAGAAAGTCAAGGGTGTTTTTGAATCAAGTATCTTTGATCTCATCCTTGATTCACCTTGTGATTGATATGCTGAGTCATGTCCGTATCAGATATGTGCATGAAAAATCATTTCTTTCCTTTGATTAAGGTCTTGAGCCTTGGCTTGATCTTGATTCTTGATTTGATCTCCCTTTAGTCCCGTATTTTATTTGTCTTTCAATTTGGTTGTTTGAATCTTCCTTCTGTGTATCCCATGATTTTCCAGTTGGGATGTTTTATCTTATTGATCAAATATTCACTTTCCTTTTTCACCGTGATTTGATCTGTATGCAAGCTTCGTTTGGTTGATCTTTGTTTGATCAAATCTCGGTTTCCTTTTTATCTTGATTCCATTGTGATTTCTTGGAGATCGTCATGGTCTCCATCATATGGCTTTTCTGCAATGTATGATTTCGTTAGTGAGAGTAGTTTATCATTATTAAAATATGTATGATATAAAAGGGGTTAACAATAAGATCCTAAATGAAAAAGGAAATAGGTTAGACCTAATTGGCGGCACATGAGTGTTTTTATCAAATCTAGAATATACTAAAATTAGTAAGGTAAGAGAGAAAAAAAACCAGTTAACATCAATAAGCATTATCTCCACAGATTTGTTCCGTTCTAAGTAGATCGATATCATTCTTTATAGTTCTTCCATTTAATATGATAGCACAGATTTTTCTCTTCATTGGTTTAACTAAACAAACCTTTCTACTATATTAATCAGAATTCCTACAGTTCTTAGCATAATAAATCATAACCCTACACAGTACAACAAAAAAATGCTTTAAGTCGCATTTATTTAGTGGCAATAAGTGAAGTGCCACTGATAGATTAAATTAGCTACAATATTACTGGCATTTAAACCTTAGCCAGTAAAGGAGGGTAGAATGAAAGTCAATTTGTTATATTTATTTAATTTTCCCCAGTTCCTTTTTACTTTGAGTTTTTGCCATCTTTTCCCTTCAATGATATCAACACGACAATGATAGAATTGGCACAACTACATTGGAGCGAGACACATCGATGGTGGAATCTGACACAAAGGTTGTGGAGTTTGACACAATATAGTGGAATTTAGTGCATAAGTGCTATTGATGAAAAGAAAGACGAACCAAAGACTTTGATATCCCTTTCAGGGCTCACCGACAACAATTTGTATTTGAGTAAAAAAATTTATCATCTTCGATTGCCACATATTTAGTATGATTGAGTTGGAATTGTACGACCATGTCGTTTAGTGACTACAAATATCCATTTTAGTTGTTGGGCCATGTAAGAGTGTATGTTCTAGAGTTATATCTTTTATATATATTGTTTGAATTGATGCATGTTTTCTATATCAAATCTTGTGTCCAATAAAATTAGTGCAGAATTGCAAATAACAACCAAACAAGCTGTTGTGGAGTTTGACTTTTGATCTCCTATTTGAAGGTAAACAACTAAACTTAGTAGCTAATTGAAACCTTTTTTATTCGTATAAAATTCAATTTTTTTCAGTAACTAGGATAAATCACCATGATGAAGAACTTCATTCAGTATCATCCGTGGATACTTAGTGATTATCCAAATGTTGTTAATTCAGAGCTCAATCTTAATATTTTCTTATAATGTGTTAATTACAACATCACAAATTGTTATATCCCATGTGCATAATAGTGGTTGAGATTGTATCCCTTGTATCTACTACTTTTTATAGTTCACTTTAAACAAAAATTCATGTAATTGATTAAGGTAGTTAATGTTACTTGAAATGGAAATAAAGTAAACGAATAGAAGAGTATGAAAAATGAAATGCTTTATTTAACTCATTTCTAGGTGCTATACTTTTAAGGATGTATATATACTTGAATGCATATTCATGGAATGTATGTATTGTGAATGCTTATGGCTTCTTGCTTGATAATTTGATCGACCATGTTAACATTTTAAATCTTTAAATCACTATCACATATCTGAATAGGGAACTCCAATTAAGAATAGAATTTAACTCGTATCGTATTTCTAAATTTAGCCTCACATTATTTTCTTCCTATTGGATAAATGAAGGTGGTAACCCATGCTTACCAGTCCCTGTTTAATCTCGTAATAATGTTTTCTAGCGCGGGCATATTTTTTCGAGCCAGAGCACGTGAAACTAACTAAAACTGCATGTTGTGTTATGTATAGTTGGTTCTTTGGTAGAAGAAATAAAGAGCAGGCAGGAGGATAACAACATCATGATGAAGAACTTACTTAAGGTTCATTAGTGATCTTCCAAATGTGTCAATTTAGAGGTCAAACTCAATATTTTCCTATACTTATTCTATTAATATACTTGTTATATCCGAGTTTGTCGACATCTATGCTCTCTTTGCATTGCATCAGCATATAGCAGCATCAAAAGGGCACGGAGAATGTGTAATGGTGCTTCTCAGTCAAGGACGTATCATACAGTTATCAATTATTACAATCTCAATAAATGTCTCTTAAAATTATTTAAAAATATTGACAGGCCTAGTTTTTATATGAGTTTTGATCATTTATTTCATCAATAACATATATAAATGTTGACACCACACTATGGGAAGCTATAGCAGCAAAACACTATCCCATATTTGAATTCCTATACCATTGGTCATCTATTTAAAAATGGATTAGTTGTTAACTCAAAACATCAACATAGATCAACTGATATCCAGGTTGCAATATAAGAAAATCATGTAGATATAGTAAAGCATTTATTATTGAATGGATATGAGATTGATCAATTACTATCACTTTGTTCTTATGCTAGTCTTGTGCTGCTAGTTTTATAGACATCTAATCTATAAAGTTTTTCTCTGTGATCTTGCATATGTCACATAGTATCCAGTTAAAAGTAGTGACATAATATACATATAGATCAGTTTATACAAATTTTTATTAACTAGGATCTTTTATCAAAAGAACAAATCGATTTGTCCATACTAATTGGTGAGACTAATCACTACCACTTGGTTCTATTTAGGTAAATAATGAGCTTCCATTGGACTAGGAAATCGTTGGATATGCTAAAAAGTTTAAGAGTATGGAAATTAGAACTCTGAGTGGACAGAAGTTTGAGCTAAAGGGATATATAGGTGCAGTGTGTGTTCTTTTGAAATTTCAAAGTAAATGCTAAAAGGATAATTTATTGCCGCTAAAGACTTCTTTTTATGTAGTGTTAGTATACTATGCCTTGGGATTCCTGGCTATTTCAATACTCTGTTGGAACTGATTTAACTTATCTGATGGACAGAGTGCTCGTCTTGCACTTTCAAGAAAACATGATATTCTTTCTTTCCACCGTGTATAAAGGATGGGTTGATGAGAAGACGCTTGCTTCGACGAAAACAGGCACTGGAATGATTGTTGCCATCAAAGAAGTTGAGCTCTGAGAGCACTCAAGGATTTGAAGAGTGGAAGGTATACGATTGAGATTTTTGATACAATTATAAGCAATTATTCGTTGACACTAATTTCGACTCTTTTTTTTTATTAAAGAAGCCAATACTTTGGCCTTTTATTTTTTACTGAAAATGTGGTGCACTTTACGAAATGTAAAATACATATAAACTCATTGTTTTAGGAGAATTAGAAGCTCAAAATTTCGAGAAGTTCCGCGAAGTGAGTATTCTTGCTTATCGAACCCTTAGTGTATTCATTTCACTATCTAGGGAGGATGTAATATTTGTTTTTTTTGTGGTTAAATACAATAAATTTCTAAAGTGAGTGTGGTTGTTCTTGATATTTGTTGGCAGGAAATAAATGTTGTGAAATGGGATGATTTTGTATTTCAAGAATAGGCTTAACCAACATACTGCTTCACCTTCAAAGAATGCCTCAAATTGGTCTGAATCATGCTCTACTGCTCTACATCCCACCCTAAATTGGGACATATCTTTCAAGTTTCTATCTAACAATTGCTTGTTTGTCAACGATCTTTTTAGACTCAAATAAGATCAGCTTTTTGGAATTAAATGATGTAATTTTGTATTTTATGTTGGTTAACTCTAAGATAATGAATGACAAGTTGTTTATTTGTTAATTATAATTTTAATGAAGCACAATATTTATTACTAATAATATTTGTCAATTTCTGGTTAATTTTATTGCTAATAAGGTGTGTCATTAATGGCACAGCAAGATGAAAGTCAAGGTGGTTTTAGTGGCAATTGTTATTCCTCGTAAATAAATGCCACTAAAGTTGAGTCCTTTTAGCGGCAATAGTTGGTATCTTTACCGGCACTGTTTGTAGTTGTCGCTAAAGCCTTTAGTGACATTGCATCCAACGACAATTAACTATATAACGGTAAAAGCTTTAGTGACAATTTTTATTGATGCTAAAATGTCTATAAATTGCCGCTAAAAGACTTTATTGTTGTAATATTTCAACGGTCCACTGATTCTCTTGATTATATCTGAAAGCCAATACAAGTTTACAGATTCAACCGAACAATAAGTTTTTAAAAAACACCCTAAGTTTTCTAAAATGCACATTCTCCAAGAGTATGAAGTAAATTTAGATTGCATTCAGCTAAACTATGAAGTTTATGTACAAATTATCCTTTTCTCAAATAACTAGTATTATTTTAGTTTTCCTCCGTATTTGTGAATTAAAGATTTGATGTATCCTTATATATTCATACATAAAAGTTCATAGATATCTGAACTTAATTTTTTATTTTTCTCCCACATATTATATAGAAATTAAGTCACGTGATATAAGATATATATAGTATTTTCACAAAGTTATAGTACTTAGAAACTAGAGTGATGCTTTTTTGGGTCTATTCTTGGATATTCTATTTTGGCCTTTTGAGTCCCTACGTATAATGTACCTTGTTATGCCTTAATGTTGGGTCTGAGACTTTTTCCCTTCCTATGTTGATGAATAAAAGTATAAGGTTTTGGGTCTTCCATCCTTTCCATTGTAGATAAAATCAGCCCAAATTTGACTAGCCCACTCTGCCCATGAGCCCAATATTATGGTGCGTAAGACTTTATTTTTTATCTTATTTGAAGAGAATCATAAGAGTTTTGAGAGCAGCCAATATGGAGAGAAAAGTGAGAAAGTGCAGATTTTTGCACAAGCCGTAGCAACCATGTTCAAATCACGATTCCCGCTTTGTTTCTTGTCCGATTGAGATGATATTTGGATAGCGTGTTCTTTTCAACAAAATATTTAATTGAGAAATGATAGAGGGTGTTTTGGAATCTTGTATCTCCAGATTTTAGCTCGGGAACAGTAGCTGCAGTTTGGGTATTTTAGCTCCTTTTGTTTCTCTAGTTTTTGGTGCTATCTTGTAGTTCTGTTGCTCATTGTTTGACACTTTATTGGTGACCATTTTGGAGGAAACTTTTGTAACTCTTGTTGATTATAGTGAAGGATTTATTCATTGTTGTTTTTACTCTTCACACCAAAGAGCTTTTCCACGTTAAATCTGATGTCTCTTGTGCTGATGAGTTTGCTGCCCGAAATCTTTTATTCTTGAATTATTTTTCCTTCTCTTGGTTCAAAGAGAAGGGAAAATTTTGGCTTGGAGATCTTCTGCTACCGCCTTTTGTAGCACCCTAAATGAATTAATGTGAACTAGAGCTTCCTAAATGTTTCATGAGTTAATTTTGTTTTAAAACATAATTTATAATGAGTTCTTAAGCAGTGTGTGAAGTTTGGTGACGTTTGGAGGTCAAACGTCCAAGAACGTCCATGATGTCTGGAAAGTGTGCCATAGAAAGTGTTTGCGTGTCTTCATGTATTTTAGTGATTTTTACTCAAAATTGATGCAGGATGTTCCTAAGACCTACATGACTATGTATAGGGTTTCAACATCTGGATAAAACTCGACCTAGGACCCACAAGGGGTCCTAGAAAAGGACCCAAGACTTGGAACCCAAGCTGCCAAAACAATCTGAGCAATCGATGCTAACAGTCTATTGGCCGTTGTCTAAATGACGCCCCGTTGTTTCGGGGTCGTAGTCCCACACTTATAGGGAGATTAGCCAAAAAGAAAAAGTCTTTGAAGCGATATATCGACGCCCTTGCAAGACAGACCAACTACCAAACGATGCCCAGTAGCTTAGAGTCGTCGATTGACAACTGTTAATGCTGTGACGTTTGACTGCTTAGCTTGGGGTATTTTTTTGTAAATTCACCCCAAGTATTTTAGAATCTAGGATGATATTTTTAGGGTTTTTAAATTATATTAAATAAGTTTTAAGTCCTAGACCTAGACAAGGCCCCTCATTTCAAATATTCAAACCCTCTCTCTAAAGAAAGACTCTCCAAAAACCCCATAGAAGCTTAGGCTCAAGAAAAGGCTTGGAGGGGATGGTGGTGGTCATGTTATTCATAAAAAAGTTAGTGGGTTTACTTATCTTTGAGGTATAGTATTCATCCTTGAACCCTCTTCGATTCAAGGAGTCATTTCTAAAAGATTTCAAAAAGGGGTTTCAAACTCTTATCTTTTTCTATATTTGGCTCTAAGAATGGGTATTCATATAAATGTGTTTTAATTATATAAATATGTTTTTCCTTGTATAATTTTATGACTTTAAATTCAAAACCCTAATGAACCCATTCTTATGCATATTTCCAAATTTTAACTTGAAAATGAGTTAAATGAATATGATGTGTAGTGTTTGAACTTTTATTTCCTTATGTTGATGTTATGGTTTAGTTACTCCCCTAAGGGATATTTTACGATGAATTTTCTAGTATGTTGTAAATAGGTGTGAAAGCATTGGAAGAATGGTAAGTTGGTATCATTGCTAACTCTTATTATGAAATGCTCTTGAGTGGTATGGTCCACCTTTTTTGTGTCAATATTTAGTTGATGTATTTATATATATTTGGTATGTATTGTGAGTATGAGTTTGAAGGTCTAATGTGTGAAACAAAGTTATAATGATGTTGGTTCTTGTTGATATGCATTATGTAGCTTAAATTGTGTGTCTTGCTTAGATTATGCCTAAATGAAGTATGTGTATAGGTTGAGCATGGTAGTGTGTGAGAAAGTATTAGCTAAGGTGTAAATATGTCTAGAAATCAATGTTAATGATGTGTTAATTATGTGCAAGGTTTTCTCACATGTACACACACACTCACACTTAAATGAATGAATGAAGTTAGTAAATTTGATTAAGGAGGGTCTTGGGGTGAACACTATTCGTTAGTTGAGATGGATTGTTTTGTAGCAACCTCACTATCTTTAAAAATATTTCTAAGATAGGTCGGAGGATGGGTGTCCTTCGTGAGTTGAGATGTAGTGCCACTAGTTGTCCTTAACCTATAGTGTACAAGTTGAGACTCCATGGGGGGAGTTATTCTTATCACCGAGAGGATATGAAGAAGGGGTGGTTACACTTTGTGAGTTGAGATGTTGTATTCCAATGTACTTTCTGAAATGAGTACTCCTCGCTAGTAGCAAATGAGTTACTTAGTAGCAATCTCCTTATCCCCTAACTATGCGCCCGCATAGGTGTAGCTATTAGATAAGCCATGTAAAATCTAAGAGAATGACCCTACCCTAGGCGAGTGGGGATCCCTCATACGATAAGGGTAGTATCAGGATTCCATGTTTAACTCCTATGGTCTATGTCAGTTAAGGATAATTCCCCTAAAGAATAAATGATCTAAGTCTCCTAAAAGAATGTACTACTTTGGGTAGGTGGTGGTATGGGACGTCATCTATCCATTGCACTAAGTAGACCTTTTGAAAGGTGAGTCTTGGTTTGTCTTATATGAAATGTATGAATGAGTTATCATGTATTGTAAATGAGGCTAGATGACTTAAGGTATAACGTTAAGGAAGCAAGTTAAAGATAAGTTTCACTTAATGAAGTTAAGAGAGATGCATGTAGTGTACTTGGTCCAAGAGAATCTTCAAGGGTCACTATGTGGGAGTTGTAGTATGGGATGCTACTCTCACATTGCACTTAGTGTAAATTACAAAGTCTCTTTGGATTAGGGCACTATGTCAAGTCTGTAAGTTATGAATAATATCCTAATGTCTAGTTTATTGTGTGGACTTGTTTCCCGTGAGAGGTAAGCCTATGATTGGTAGTCTTAAGGACCACTTAGATGTGTATTGAAGGGGGTGTATAAGTGTTTCCTTCATGCCTTAAGTTAGTGTGTCTTAGTATTACCTGGTTAGGGAATCTTCAAAGGAAACTGGGTTCATTGTGTTGGTATGAGTTCACTGTATTGGTTTATTGTTTCACTGTAAAGTGATTTTGATTACAGTGAAGTATGTTTTGGTCCTAAAATTGTGAAGCTTTTTTATGTGATTAATGATAATTATTATACTATTTTAACTCTATATTCATGAAGGTTTTACTTATTTGACATGAAATCTTAATTTACTAAAATGTCCCTTTTTGCATGTTTTTGCATATGTCATACTTAGTACATTGTTTTGTACTAATCCCATACTTTTCTATACTTAATAAGTAAAGGTTGTAGGCAAGTTTTAAAACAAGAAGGCAAAGCTTGAGAATCTACTCTCTCAAGACTAAGTATGTCCTCATCTATCCGAGGGCATAATTCTATTTTCTTAGTTTCTATCATTAATACTTGTTATGCATTTTCATTTAATATAAAGGGCTGTGTGCCTAAAATATTTATATCGTGCCTTTAAGTTGGCTTGTGATGTTAAGACTTCTCCTTAGATTTTGTGAAATAGGTTTCTTTTATTATCTTAGCCGTGAAAAGTGTTTAATTACGCACTACTTTTCATATTTTTTGTAATGAGTGATAGCTAAAGCTTGTACAAGACCCCCGAAGGGTTATGTACGCAATCGTTTTGACCTAAGGGTACTCTTTTATTTTAGGGGTACTTTCAGATCGTTACAATCTTGGTATCAGAGCATAAGTTCATGGGAAATAGTTGAGGGTCTAAAGTCTAACAAACCACGTCTAGTAGAGTCTTGTTAATTGGTGTGAGTCGCGACAAATCCATTGACAAGAGGCTATAAAATGATAGAAGTTTCACTTTGTTCATTGTTATAATGTCGTGCCTTAGAGTTGAGTTCTATAAGATGTATTTATCAGCCTCTTC